CTAAGCATACAAACTTCACAAAACTTAAATAAAAAATTTAATTTGAGGTCGAGAACCAATTTTTTCGACCCAAAAATGACAACATTTCAGCTTTTTCAAGCGTTTTTCTAACTTTTTGAACAGTTTTTCCGATTCAAATAGGCTTAAATTTTGCTAAAAACAATGTGAAAACATTTTACATTGGGTTACTAGGTCAACCGGGACCGCCAGGTAAAAGTTGGGTTCCCCCTCCCCGCGAATCCCAAAGAACCGTAAATCTCGATCGATACATATAAAAACGTGTTTCGCAATTTATTGCGGCCTATGCCGGACGGTCCAGAATTAATTCCCGGTTCTCAGCAGTGGGGCTAAATTGCCACCAAATTGTTAAATTCCCATAAAATACGGTTTATCCAAATAAATTCTAGACTCGCCTTGATATGGGCGAAACGCCGCTGATTCGATCGATCACTTTCGTTTCGGCATTTGTGTTTCACTGTTCGCTGGAAGGGTTCGCGTTTGGAATTCAGGTAAAATTGACAGGGCCATTGTCCATTTGAAAAATGCACTTTGGCGGCACTTTATGCGTTTCAGATGTTTGGATCTAAACGATCTAATTTACCGGAAATTGATAGGAAGTTTGCCACCTAAGAAAGAAACAGATACTTTTTGTGAATCTTTAATCCCCTTTAAAAGGCATAGCCTAACTTTGCATTTCAATGTTTCACTATATTTACGGGACCACGTCAGGGTTGAAATGTTATTAATTTCGGGATTGAGCATGTCCAAAAAATGTGCTGTAACGGTTACACTTTTTATCGACCTTTGGACTTCTTTTTCGCTTGGTTAACCTTGTTACCTAATTCTTTGCTTTTCAATGTTTCTAGATACCTCCCACCCCACCCCCCTCTCCAAATAAAATCGTTGCTGGAAAAATAATAGGATATTATTCTCAACACCAGCGCCCAAAACCCGCTTCGCGGGCCTTGGGCGCTGGAATGCGGTTTTTGCAGGAGAATTTTGACTTTCCGATCACTCGGGTCCTTCGGACCCCTCCTCTCTGCCGACCACACCTGCGCGTGCAACTGGCAAGAATGAGGAAATTTGTATTTTTCGCATTATGCAAATTAGCCCTTAGGGACCCCAAAAATGAATAAAACCGGTTTTAACTTTGTAAACTTGTATTTTAACGAAATTCTGAGAACACCATCGGAAACAGGAGGGTCGATTCCCCCGGGTGACGAAGAATTAGGGCATTTTATGCACGGGCTTCGAAAGTGACATCCGCACACACACACACACACACACACATACGCGCCAAAATTATATAAGGTAGGATATAGAAAATTTAGTGTCATAATGGCGGCTTCTTATTTCTACAGGCATTTTCAAATTATAGAATCAGCAAAAAAACTGAAACTAGCAGATTTCTAGGGTTTTTGAGATTTGTAGGATCTAACAAGTTGTATTTCTTTTTAAATTTCAATGTTTCACAATATCTCCTAGCTGATGTTCATGTAGATTACTTGTTAGTGTTCAGGAAGTAGTGACGCACAGTTCTTTTATTTCTTTTTTTTTCAGGAAGACACCGTGTCCATCACTTCACTATTTGCCGGGATCATGCTGCACAAGGTATCGGTATAAGCTATTACTTAACTCGCCTTCCATTAAAGAAAATATGTTTTATTGAATTCTGTGGCTATCGAGATTTTTTCAAAGTCAGTTCGGCCCCGCCATGTGCAAAATAGTTTAGTTCGTAAAGAACGAATAGTTTCGGTCATAATCGTAATTTATTAATTTTTCTTCATTTACTATTATTTGCGTTTTTAAGTTTTTACACGTATTTACTGCAAAAAATATGGCCTTTCATTGATCAATCTAACTCCTATAATTAAATCAATAACTTGTATTTTGACTTTAATTTTAATTTAAACGAGACCGACCTTGGAAAAATAAGGTTTCATCAAATCGTTTTGTTAGCAAATGGTTGGCTCTTGTAATGCAGCATAAATTCTTTTTGTTCGAAAAAGTTTCTGTAGATTAAAATCTTATTGCTTTTAATGATTTATATTATAAAAATGTTAAATTTTATTTCATTCAATAATTCAGTGCGTGGTGTTCTTCTCGATTGGGGTGCGACTGGTGAAGGCACATGGACAAAGGACATTCGTCGTCGTCGGCCTGATCGTATTTGTGGCAATTACGGCACCGTTGGGAGGAGCTATCGGGATTATTGTTAAGGTATGAGAAGCTTAGTATGTACAAAATTATATAATTATCAAATTGGCGATATGCAGATTCGGCATTAAAGCGATTCCAGGTGAATTTTTTAGATGCACCGAGTTGAAAAAATAATGAGATTAAGTTGAGCTGCTTTTCCCTTATCTGGGATTCCTGGTTTCACTAAGCATTTTATTTTCTCCTTTTAAGTGTTATTTTTTGAAACATTTTTCTTTTCTATCGCCCCGGATTCCGAATGCATTTTTGCCGCTCCCGCTACACGCAGCGCCCACGTAACGCGCAGTGATTTGTGTCAGTATCCGATACGCAATCCCGAGAGTGCGCGTCACGGCAAAATGCATACAGACTCTAAGACCACCAGAATATATGAAATACTAGATAACTGAACCGTGCTTTATTTAAAACTCATCTTTTTTGTAGGACTCAAAAATCAACACGACAGCAAAGGATGTGTCAATGTTGGTGCTGAGCTGTCTGTCCCTCGGCACATTTCTCTACATTACATTTTTTGAAGTGCGTTTGAACTACTGCCCACTAAAACTTGTTATTACAATAATTAATTGGCTTCCTTGAATTTTGGCCAAAAAATCAGGTCCTGAGCTTAGCTTGCAAAGGCCAAACGTATGGGAAAATACGCGAGTGAAATCGGGCAGAATTACCATACAGGGTGTCCCAAAAAAACGACCCAGCTGGCATTTCGCCGTGTTGCATCCAAGCGGTCCCAAATTTGGACCAGAGGTGTATCAGACCCTAAATAACAACAATCCTGACTTATAGCCCTGTAGCTACAGTCGCTCTCGAGTTATAGCAAAAACAAACTTTATTTTCCATTTTTCTTAGGGTTATCGTGGAATTAGACCCCCCTAAACATTAAGCGAAAATGATCCGGTAGGCCTTCTTTACCTTAAGAAATTTTTTCCAGAGTAAAATTCATTAAATAAGCTTCGATTTAAGCAATTTTTACAACGCAAAACCACCCCAGTTCTTAAGCGAAATTAGGGATTCGCGGCCGGAAGTCGATGCAAATCGATGCAAAGTCCAAAAAGATAGCCGATAAAACTGTTCAGAATTCCGGGAAAAACAGTATTTTCGTTATAACTTTAAAATTACTGTAGCTATGGGGCTGTAAGTCAGGATTGGTGTTATTTAAGGTCTGATACACCTCTGGTCCAAATATGGGACCGATTGGATGTAACCCGGCGAAATGCCAGATCGGTCGTTTTTTTTGGGACACCCTGTATAGTCAACGCAACATCTTACGCTGAATCGGCGCAAATTTTTACAAAAAGATGTTCGATGTGAATGGGGTCCTGTGAGAGACAAGCGCCTGCTAATTCGTTAGTCTTCAGCTTTACCTGCTAGTTTCAAATTATCCGCCGTGGGGCCCTTTAACGAAATATTAAAGAATTTTCATTACGTTTTACTCATTTTTCAAGAACACAGAGTACATAGAAATTATCAGCTTTTTCCAAAATTCTGGACTTTTCGGGTGAAAATGTCTTTAGAATGAGCAAAAAGGCTAAAATCTGGAAATTTCCGAATTTTAGATATTTGTTATAAGTACATAGAACACAAAAACTACTAAAAAGCCTATAAAAATAAACTTGTCTGGAGATGCAGGAATATAATATGAGTTCCCCGCTCTGATAGGTCCAACCCGATATGGCAACATAGAACAAATTGTATGATACGCAGAAAACGAACTGTTGCCGCACAAATTGCTTTTAATTCTTCCCTTTTCTGGTGAAACTTAAAAGTGATAACTGTGAAAACTTAAATTTTCAGATATATTTATTACAGGAAAATATAGTTCCTGAATAGCGCTACGGTTTACTTTACCCCCCCCCCCCCAGCCGGAATGTTTTGGCTACAACTTTTTTATTTTACATTATTGTAGGCTCATATTAAAACTTAGTATATTTTTCGACGCTCTATCGAATGGCGTTGCGAAAATCCCGACAAAATAAGCGAAAATACCGACAACTTTGAGACCCTTCGGCTGTGGGGGGGGGGGGTAAAGTAAACTCTTACCCTGAATAGAAATATGAACTATTTAAATAGACAAATTGATAACGTAAATTTAGTTGCTGGGCCCGGAAAAGGAGAATCGACACGCTAATTTCATGCAGTGGCTCGGGGCGCTGGCCGGGTTCGCCATTATCGGAGTCGTCATGGTCTTTGCCGGATAAATTGAATAGCTATTGCATTATTCTGCTGATCTTTCACGTATAAAACCTAATCAAAATTGGAAAAAGGATACGGCACAGCTTATAGATACAGTTATCAACATGAAAATAGCGAAATTGGTTAGTTTGCTAGGTAAAACATGATATCTTCAATGGAAAAATTTGGAAAAAGTGAATGGGCAGATAAATACAAGGGTTATAGAGATAGAGAGGGAGAAGAGAGAGAGAGAGAGAGAGAGAGAGAGAGAGAGAGAAGAGGGGAGGAGAGAGTGAGAGAAAGAAAAGACTTAGGCTGAGGTGAGAGAGTGAGAGTGAGAGAGAGAGAGAGAGAGAGAGAGAGAGAGAGAGAGAGAGGAGAGAGGGAGAGAGGGGGGGAGAGAGAGATAGTATGCACGGACGAACCGGAAAACGCGACGAAAGCAGCCGGGTGGAGCTGGCCAAAATCGAGGAGGTCGAGACGACCAATGTTTTGATCAATACGACCCGATATATTTTTATCATTGAGACCGGTCATTTGCATAAATATCGGCATTAGGCTCAGGCAAAACAAAAAAAAAAGATTGCCGCCATCACACAACACGTCGCATCAACTAGATGTGGTATGATATCGAATTGCTGTCCTTTTCTGTCTTGTTCGTTTATTCGCTGGTCTCATGTGGCAGGTTCGGCATGCGTCGGCGCTCCAAAAAGGTGACTATTATTTAAGGTTACCTCCTGTTAGCAAATGACTGGAAGGGCGGCATTTCACGCATTCCCTGCACTCGGATTTTGTAATCTTTCAGGGCGAATATCGGTTCCCGCAACGCGTCGAGGGTCGTATTCTTGCCAACGATCGGAACGCCGCCCACGCCAAGGTAGCTATATATTCCTAAAAAATTCCGCCTCTACCTCATGACTTCTTTGAATCTTCCCTGCTAGCTTGCCCCTCTTTCCTATTCCTCAATGTTCTCTGCTAGCTTGCCCCTCTTTCCCATTCCTCAATGCTTTCTGCTAGCTTGCCCCTTTTTCCCATCCCTCAATGCTTTCTGCTAGCTTGCCCCTTTTTCCCATCCCTCAATGCTTTCTGCTAGCTTGCCCCTTTTTCCCATTCCTCAATGCTTTCTGCTAGCTTGCCCGTTTTTCCCATTCCTCAAGGCTTTCTGCTATCTTACCCCTCTTTCCCATTCCTCAATGCATCTCGGTTTGGTAAGACTCTAGTTTACCCCCCCAGCCCTAACTTTTCAGCCATCCGTCCTATTAATGCGCCGAGTATCTCAAAAAGTTTGCCGTAGTCGAATTACTATAAAAAAATCGTTTTCTTGCGGCAAAAATTGCTAGAAAATTTTTTACAAGATTTTGAAAGTTGAAAAGATTAAGCCCCTCTGCTTCATTGTACCAGGAGTCTAAAACTCAAAGATTTTTATTTTCCGCTATTTTTTGACTCAAATGCACTGTAAGCTTATTCTACAGAGCAAGAGCAACATCTTGGTACCATTGACAGCTCTGTATGAATAAAGATAGCCGAGACATGAAAACTCGCAAAAATTAACTAAAAAAAACCAGACTTATAATCGTTAGAAAAATTTTTCTAACAATTTTTGATGTAAGGAAACAACTTGGCTAGAATAATTCGATCACGGCGAACGTTTTGAGATACACGGCACATTAATAGGACGTACGGCTGAAAAGTTACAGCTGGGGAGGTAAACTAGAGTCTAGCCCTCGGTTTTCTAGCTGAAATTTTCAGGTGAAGATCGACGGCCAAGAGCGTATTCTCGACGAGCACATCCACTTCACGCAGCTCCCATCTGAAGCGCCCGTTGACGATCGTTTCGATATTCTTGGTCATGTGCGATCCACGAAGTATCTCACCTCATGCTCCACCACCACCAATACTCGGTAATATAATCAAAATAACACACACAAAAAGCTAAAAAAATAGAGATAAAAATTTATAAAAAAATAAACTCCTTTTTTTATTCGAACAGGGGTACTATAATAATCACACGGGTCGTTAATTTACTGAAGACTTCATCTAGAATATTTTGGTAGTTTCAGGCTATTGGGGTTTTAAGGCTAGATTTTGAAGTTAAAGGTACGTTTTACTGTTTTCAGGACGCACTACAAGAATGACGGCAAGGAGTCGGTGGCCCCGCCCGATCAACATGAACATGAGAAACAGGGACAGCAGCACGAGCTCCAACAGCAGCCCCAGACTGCTCTCGCTCCATTGGACGAGAGGAAAAATGTTCGACCCAGCTCGCCCGCGCCGATCCACAAATTGTCGGAATACGCCGTCGCCAAGCAGTAAGTAGCATTTCGCTCGCCCCGCCCCCCCCCCGCTTATAAACAAGCACCGATTTATACTTGACGGCGACACGCAAAGCACGCGCAACGTGACCGCTATAAAGAACACGCAATCGATTACGCAAGGGCGTTGCATGTAGGGCTGCGGAAAAATCCACAGCCCTGACTTCCGGGTTCCTTTAATGTCCTTCTTGAATTTGCCTTCACAACCCCTTTAAAATGGCTAGACAACGGCAGACACTTTTTTGCAGATCAACTGCGGGCGTGTCGCGTGCCGATTCGAGCCGCGCCGGGTCGGGCATTCCCGAGACCGTCCAAAAGACCCAGCAGGCCCACGAGGAGCTCGAGGTCCAGACGAGCCAGACGCGCCACGCAGGCTCCTCCGAGGAGACCCGTATGCAGGTGTGTATGCTAATTTTAGAAGGCGATCAGAGCTGAAAACCTTTTAATTTTTTTTTGGCTCGTTTATTGCTCACTATAAGATAAAACAGAAAATAAGTTTTTTGCCTTTTTGCCGACCTTACTGTCCTTATCGTTTACCTGTATTAGATTGTAGCTGTTGCGTCAGCTGGAAAACGATCTAAAATCTTCTAAATTTTGAAATTTCGAAATATATCCGAAAATCGGTACTTTTCGTAAAGACAAACAGAATTTGCACGGTAAAATTAAAAGCTTTGTACCAGGGCCTTTATCAAAAGATTTCGCTTTCATCGATTAAATCGCATGCCGAGGAAACCACCTTTTGTTTTCCATCTTGAGTGCAGTTTACCCCCCCAATTTTGTCTCGGCTCCCTGTTCATCTACAGATGTGCAAAGTATACCAAAATGTTCGTCTTCCTCTGGCGAGTATTTGGGTATACTTTACACACCTGTAGATGAACAAACCGAGATACGCTAGGTCAGCTGGATGATTGCTAGAAGGTCACAAGAACCTCTATAAAAATTCTTGACCACGCTATTCGATCGAGCATCAAAAAATATACTGAGAGACCAGGGTTGAAAAGCCGCTTCGCGACTTTTCAACCCTGGCCCCGTCTAACCCTATGATGTTCTTCGCTTTGCATAATCGTGCCCCAATTCCGATGACAAAAATGAAAAACGCTCCCTTTAAGCCTTTATATAGGCTACAGCGGCAGGGCCGTAACAAACCCAAATTTCGGGGGGGGGGCGACCCCAAAAATTTTTCACTAATATGACTAAAACTACAGCGCCGCAGGCAAAATTTTTGAAAACATAGGGTTTATAACACTAAAACAAGTGTTAAAAATTGACAAAAACAGCGCCGCAGGCAAAAAATTTTTTGGAAAAATGAAATCATAAGGGTCCCCCCTTATGAACTTTTCGGCCTTCGGCCGATTTCGGGGGGGCGGCTCGCCCCTCGCCCCCCTCTTACGGGCCTGTACAGCGGCTTCCGGCGTATACTAATTTTATCCTAACAGTGGGTGTCGAAATTTTTAAGAAAAACTTAATTTTAATGTCGAAAACCCCATATTTTACAAAATCCGATATGTGTGCAGTCATCTCCAGCCCCTTACGCACCTAATGACGCATCAAACACCTCCTCACACCCTGACGGAAGTTTCATGCAAATGCATACACACACACACAAACACTATTTTTTTTATATATAGTAGGATCATGGGTGAAAGGTTCTGGCTTGGGTGGGTGGGGGGGGGTTTCTAGACCTTACGAGGGAAGTGCGCGACATGACCGTGGGATTTCTACAAGAGACATAGTGGATCTGATAGAGTCGGACACGGGGAATCCGAATCTGTAATCAGAATCTGCTAAATAAAACGGAAAAAGTTATGATGCTTCAAAATCGGCAAAATCGACAAAAACGGTACCTTTAGCGGCCTGTATAAGCGCAAAAACGGAACTGAGCAAAAAATGGATGCCTCTTGTTCAGGATCAAAAGCTCCTTCGAAGGAGCTATAATACGTACTAGCCTACCTTATATAATTTTGGGATGTATCTCTGTGTGTGTATGTGTGTCCGGCCGTCACTTTCGAGACCGGATTTGAGGGCCTTCCCGCGTCCAAAACGCCCCAATTCGTTGTGAATTGGGGTAATCGCGCCTCCTCTTTCCGATGGCAGTCTCAGAATTTTGTTAAAATACAGGTTTACAAAGTTAAAGCCGGTTTTATTCATTTTTGGGCGTACCTGAGGGCTAATTTGCATCTTGTGAAAAAAAATAGAAATTTCCTCATTCTAGCCGGTTGCACGCGCCAGTGTGGACGGGGGAGGGGAGGGGTCCGCAGGACCCATGCTATCTTAAAGTCCAATTTCGCATGCAAAGGCCGCATTCCAGCGCCCAAGGCCCGCGAAGCGGGTTTTGGGCGCTGGTTTGCAAATAATTCGTCAAAAAAATTTTTTGGATTCACAGGCAAGGTTCCTGTCGAGGTCATCGAAGAGATTTTCAAAAAATCATCGTAAACTTGTTGTGTTATAGCTCGTTCGAAAGAGCTTTTTCTGCTGAACAAGATGCACCAAACAGTTTCTGCTCAATTCCTCGTCTGCGCTTTTTACAGGCCGCTAAAAGCATCGTTTTTGTGGATTTTGCCTACTTTGAAGCACCATAACTTTTTCTCCATTTTATTTGGCAGATTCGGATTAAAGATTCGGAATCCCCGTGTCCGACTCTATCAGATCCACTATGTCTCGTGTCGAAACCCCACTGTCAGGCCGTGCGCTTCCCTTGTTAGCCGTTGTTACCTACCATTTTCAGCTGAAGATCGACGGACACGAGCGTATCCTCGACGAGCACATCCACTTCACGCATCTTCCATCTGAAGCGCCAGATGACGATCGTTTCGATATTCTTGGTCATGTGCGATCCACGAAGTATCTCACCTCATGCTCCACCACCACCAATACTCGGTAATATAATCAAAATAACACACACAAAAAGCTAAAAAAATAGAGATAAAAATTTATAAAAAAATAAACTCCTTTTTTTATTCGAACAGGGGTACTATAATAATCACACGGGTCGTTAATTTACTGAAGACTTCTTCTGGAATATTTTAGTAGTTTCAGGCTATTGGCGTTTTAAGGTTAGATTTTGAAGTTAAAGGTACATTTTACTGTTTTCAGGACGCACTACAAGAATGACGGCAAGGAGTCGGTGGCCCCGCCCGATCAACATGAACATGAGAAACAGGGACAGCTGCACGAGCTCCAACAGCAGCCCCAGACTGCTCTCGCTCCATTGGACGAGAGGAAAAATGTTCGACCCAGCTCGCCCGCGCCGATCCACAAATTGTCGGAATACGCCGTCGCCAAGCAGTAAGTAGCATTTCGCTCGCCCCGCCCCCCCCCCCGCTTATAAACAAGCACCGATTTATACTTGACGGCGACACGCAAAGCACGCGCAACGTGACCGCTATAAAGAACACGCAATCGATTACGCAAGGGCGTTGCATGTAGGGCTGCGGAAAAATCCGCGGCCCTGACTTCCCGGTTCCTTTAATGTCCTTCTTAAAATTGACTTCACAACCCCATTAAAATGGCTAGACACCGGCGGACACTTTTTTGCAGCTCAACCGCGGCCGCGTGGTGTTCCCATTCGAGCCGCTCCGACTCGGTCATCCGCGAGACCGTTGAAAAGGTCCAGAAGACCCACGAGGAGCTCGAGGCCCAGACGAGCCAGACGCGCCACGCAGGCTCCTGCGAGGAGACCCGTATGCAGGTATGCTAATTTTAGAAGGCGATCAGAGCTGAAAACCTTTTAATTTTTTTTTGGATCGTTGATTGCTCACTATATAAGAAGAAACAGAAAATAAGTTTTTTTGCCTTTTTGCCGACCTTACTGTCCTTATCGTTTGACTGTTTTAGATTGTAGCTGTGGCGTCAGCTGGAAAACGATCTAAAATCTTCTAAATTTTGAAATTTCGAAATATATCCGAAAATCGGTACTTTTCGTAAAGTTCAGACAGAATTTGCACGGTAGAAATTAAAATCTTTGTACCAGGGCCTTCATCTAAAATTTTCGCTTTCATCGATTGAATCGCATGCCGGGGAAACCACTTTTTGTTTTCCACCTAGAGTTCAGTTTACCCACCCCCCCCAGCCGGCACCGAACTTTGGTATCTCGACTCCCTGTTTATCTACAGATGGGCAAAGTATACCAAAATGTTCGCCTTGCTGTGGCGAGTATTTTGGTATCCTTGACACACCGCTACAACAACGGGTTGTCGATATGCAGTAGGTGGGGGGCCGGCAGGGGGGGGGTAAACTGAACCACAGCCCAATAATCTCTTCTGGCGGAGCCTGGCCGGCGTTATGACATGAACCCTGCAAGTTCCAGGCTTATTCCGATGATGTCATCGAGCGGCCGAGAGCACAAGATACACGCGCAGCGGTGGGTTTCCGCAATAGTTTCACGCTACGCTGTTTTGGCTCTGTTTTCGCAATTTGCATGCCGATTTTGAGTAATTTTCCCAAAAATGATAATTTTCGGCTCTCTTTGATGATGAAAAGTGATCAAAAGGCCCAATTGAGACGTAATTTTTGTAAATCAAAAAATTTCTACGGATGGAAAAAGCGCCCTCTTCATTTTTGCTACACATTGCGAGGTCCAAATCCGTCAAAATCCGACTGAAATCGGCAAAATAAACCTTAATTTCCATGTTACTTTTTTGTTTTACGATATTTTGCTTAGAAAATTCGGCTGCACATAGTTTTTATGGGTCCTCATCCCTGGGAAAAATTTGGTCCCGATAGAAGACGGCCAAATGCCGAGGGTAGGGGGGGGGGAGTGGGGACACCCTGTAGTACTTGCCCAATTGTAGTCATTACTCCTTTTGTAGGGATTGCCGGTGGACTCGGTGCTAGACAGCGCCCGTCGTCTACTCTTCATCTACGGGTCTCACAACGCCGGCAGCGAGGCCAATGATATATTCATTTACGCGCAGGTGGATGACCGGTCGAAATAATAAGGCTCAGTAGTAGTTACATAGTTCTGGGACATCAGAGGGGGGGTGGGGGTTTAACAGAGGGCAAAACGACTTTCCGTTACTCCACCTGTTGACTTTATATAATGTATTTTTAGAGTATTTTTAGGGTATTTTTAGTAGGTGATTCGTAGAACGTGATAAAAAGCACTTTAAAACAGTCTGAAAATACGAAATTTTTACCATTTGTGGTCATTTCTCATACATTTTTAATCAAAAAGTCAAAAATTTCCGAAAATTTATCTATAATACTATGTAAATACTATGTAAAATGCTGGGTACTACCCTAGTTTACCTCCCCAGCCCTAATTTTTCAGCGAAAGGAAAGAATGCGTAGTGTAGGGGTTTCTGGCACATTGAAGCATGGCGGCATAATCTTTTCAACTTTCAAAATCTTGCAAAAAATTTTCTTGCAATTCTTGCCGCAAGAAAACAACTTTTTTATAATCATTCGACCGCGGCCGCGAATCGGAAAAGCGTTCGCAGTGCTCTCCGGCTCTGAAAAACAGGGGTTTTTTTTCAGGGCGTAAAATACTTGGCGGTCGTCTACTTCTTTTTGACACAAATACACAACGACCAGCAGCAAGTGACGACAGATGAATAGACCGCGAATTCAGCTATTTTAGGTGATCGAAGCATGGAAACAGGCCGAACAGCAACTTTTGGATTCTGGTCGACCGGTGGCGGCTACGCGGCCGATTGCATCAATCGTGGTAAGCGAATAGTTAACAGCGAAAAGTATGGCCTGGATCTACAGGATGCCAAAAAGACCCCCCGAACCCCCGTCAAATATGGAGGGCCGGCCCGCCACTTTGCCAATAAGTTATATTGATTTTAAGTGAGCTAATTTAATTACATTATAAGTTTTTCTTATTGAGATTGAACGTAAATCATCTGCTTAAACAGATAAAAGAAAAAAATCCGAGTTGTGGCTTAACTTTGATTTATCAGGAAACGACCCGGGTTCGATCCCGGCCGAGGTCAATCTTTTGCTTTTTGCTCTTTTTGGCCGGAAAGTTCAGAAATGCTGGAAATATGCCTTGTTAGCCTTATTTAATTGTGCGAGACAGGAGTGTTTTTCATTTTTTCAATGCATAGAATATAGAGACACATGCAGAGTCAAAAATATTATGGGCTCAGACGGGGCCAGGGTTGAAAAGTCGCGATGCAGCTTTCAACCCTGGTAAATATTAAAATGTATAAAATTAAAATAGTGTTTGAGCAGCTATTCGGATTTTGCTTGTTTTTGCCAGAACTATTTTATTTTACATTATTTTGGGCTGTAATTAAAACTCAAAGTATATTTTCTGACGCTCTACTGAGTGGCGTTAAAGAAATTCTGTAAAAATGTCGAAAATGTTGACAACTAACTTTGCATCACTTGTTCCCATAGGGAAACCGCGCTTAAATTTTTATTTTTGCTGTAACTATTTTATTTTGGATTATTCTGCGCTGAAGTTACGACACTTAGTATATTTTTTAATGCTCTATCGAATGGCTTATCAAAAACCAGTGGAAAAAGCCCGCTTCGCGGCCCTTTTCCACTGGACCCCGTCCATGAACGATGAATTCGAATACCTTCTTTTTTTAGCCTGCGGCGCAAGAACCTGAGTCAAGGAGCCATTCTTTGGCCTGCGGCGCGAGAGCCTAGACTCAGGGCCTTTCCTTGGGCCTGCGGCGCTAGAGCGAGGGCCAGGCCTAAACCTCGCACATAGAGAGCCTAGAAACATGTTTTGTTGTTGAACTACCAAAAAGCAAAAAGTGAGTTTCCCCAGGATCCGAACTCAAGGCCTCACGCGTGGGAGACCGGGCGCCAACCCACTACACCATGGGACACATGGGAACAGGCGGGGGGAAAGCCCTCTTCCGTCCTGGAGAAAGGGGGCGGGGAAGGCAAAGAAAAGGGCGACCCAATGATCCCGGAGGAGGGCCTACTGGTTACTTTACAAAATTCGGTTTTCGAGTCTAAAACAGCCGAAAATTTTCAAAGATGATAAGATGCGCGTGATCCCCACCATCGAATACATTAGTTGTCCAAATTTCAGCCCGAAATTCCATCAGGGCTTCGAGTTATGCCCCGGACACCACGACCCCTGGCCCATTTTGTTAAGGAGTTTTCAGAAAAATGCTCATAAAAATTTTATTTGACAAAACCTGACAAAACGCAGAATTATATATCGGGAGAATTCAATTTTCAACCTACCCTCCAAAAATTAGTGCCTAATTCCGTTTGGAACGCGAGATATCCGCTGAACAAACCTATTATCGGCCAAAATGTTAAGGATTTTTCACTATTTTGCTTGTAAAACCGTTAAATGAAGGAATTTCGAAAAACAAAAAATTGCTTCACTGACAAATGTGTTTCTCCACCTCCCTGCCAAAAATCAGCGCGGAATTCGGCCTGACGGCCGAGAAATCGGCTGCACAGAAAACAAACATACTTTTCTCGCTTATAGGATAGGATTTCGAAAAAAATAGCGTAAATATCCAAAACTTTGGGACCCTCGGGCTGGAGGGGAGGGGTAAAGTAAACCGTAGCCGTAAAGTGAATTTTGACCTTCTGCGTTTTGCAGCTCGGAGGGTTCTCTACAGCTGTCGCGGCTCCGGAATTCGCCAATTCGGCCGCGTGGCGTGAAGCCGAGCAAAAGGCGCTTACAAGCGCACGTGCTTCTGAAGGGAAGTCGCCCGATGATCTGTGGAATGTTTGTTGCATCATATTCCAGATTTCTTGCGATGCTCTTCTTTTCCTTTGGTTCTTTCGCATTAGCAGGGGGGGACCGACTTTTTGTATAAGTCTAATTCGCAGACACATCATGACAAACATCTAGGTTTCTTTGACCCAAAACAACCAAGCTTTCGACTTTTTCAAACATTTTTTATATAAATAAAGAGTACAGAGTTAGTTAAAGATGCTAAGAGTATAAGACCGCGTTTTTCGTTTAAATCATACAAAAAGTTTCTTTAGTTGCTTTCAGTAAGTTTTAACTATATTAGGAGCCTCACAATTAAAAAAAAAAAATGGAAAACTTTGGAACAGTGGACGTTTTGGTCATTTTTGGTCGAAGAATTCAAATTTTCAACCCGCTTCGCGACTTTTCAACCCTGGCCCCGTCCAACCCTATGATATTCTTGGCTTTGTATACTTTCGCGGATTCGGACAACGAAAAATGAAAAATGCTCTCGCCGTGCCTTTATATAGGCTACCGCCACCCGTTGCATGCTAATTTGATCCTAACAAAGTGGGGTGTCCGATTTTCCATGAAAAACTTAATTTTAATGTCGAAAACAGCATATTTTGTAAAAGCTAGTATGTGGGCAGTCATCTCCAGCCCATTACGCACCTTTGGTCACTTTGGCCCAGTTTGGGCCTTTTCGGAGGTCCCCCTTAACATTTTTACTCCCGCCCAACCAACTTCCAGGGGCGATTAGAGTCACTTCCCCGCTCCCAAATTTTGCGAAATCGCTACAGTAGGGGTTTCCGAACACGCTGGACATATTTTCGAAATCGAAAAATTCCTTGAAAAAAAGTTAATTTTTGGACCGTCGGAGTTGCTCGACAAAATGTTACCGTACGCTAAATCCAAAAATTACGAAAACTACAGCAAGTGCATTACACTTCAGCCAACATCATGTGTAAATGTCATAAAAAACCATCAGAGTGCTGCGAAGTTATAACCTAAAAACAGAAATTTGACAGAATTTTGGCTAGTACTGTAGCAAGTTTTTGAAAATATACTGCTTGCGTCATTAAAATTCAGTTTTTCTTGAAAAATTGGTCATCCCTCTTTGTTAGGAAACGATTAGCATGCTCCGGAAGTGGCGGAAGCCTATATAACGGGAGAGCGGCAGCCTTTTTTTATTATTACGTACCAGGGTTGAAAAGCCGCTTCGCGACTTTTCAACCCTGGCCCCGTCTGATCTCATGATCCACTTCACTTTGCATAATTCTCGATCTCCGATGACAAAAAATGAAAATCGCCCCTTCTACCCCATTATATAGGCTGCCGTCACTTCCGGCGCATGCTAATTTTTTCCTAACAAAGAGGGTCCCCGATTTTTTTAACAAAAACCTAAATTTAATGTCGAAAATAGGCAATTTTGGTAAATCTGATAAGCGTGCAGTCATCCCAGAGCCATTACGCACCTAATGACGTATGATACGTACTTTAAAATTCATCCCCTATCGAGATATCCTCCGGACACCCTGACGGAAGTTGCATGCAAAGTGGCACACACACACACACACACAAACACACAGACACTATTTTTTTATATATAGTAGGATCATCGCAATTCGCGCGAATTATGCAAAGTGCAGAATTTCATGATTTTGGGAGATCGCCAGGGTTGAAAAGTCGCGAAGCGGCTGTTTATCTTGCTTTAATTGTTATAAATAATTTCCTAACAATTTTGATGCGTAAGGAGCGTATGGCTGCAAAGTTGGGGCTGGGGGGTCTTACTGAATAAGATGTTTATTATATCGATAAAAAAACCATTCAACGGTTTTTTTCAGGATTGCTGCCTGGAGTACGAAGTACTGTGGAGCGCTCTTGAGGGTCAGAAGACTAGGCTGCGGAAAGCGGTACAAGACAACAAGAGCGTCCACGCGCAAGTCCGGTTTCCTATCACTTGCCGCAATACTTCTATTTCGAAGCCTCCGGAAACGTCACAGTTTCAGTTCGAGAATGTGCACAAGCACGTCGGTGAGCAGCACCGCCGTTGGACGACTCTCAACGGCGAAGTAGGAACAGTACGCTCGACCCAGACATGTGCAATGTTTAGATCTCGCGCACCGAGCCACCGCTGAAGCGTCTTCTTCTTCGTGCCAAAAAACAATTCAAGACGGCAGGCGTTTATTTGTTGAATGTTGTTACGAAATAACCAGGGGTACTTCCGCAAAAAGTTTGCACTAATTGTTCCGGCAGTCGCAACAATTCTTAGGGCCAAAAAGCAAAAAAAAATAAAAACTCTTGGCGAGTCCGAAGCTTCGTTGGATTGTCAAGCGGCACATTAATGTCTTGTTAGGTAGTGAAGCCGGTGATCGACTTCATGCGGCCTCCGCCAGCTCAAGAGGACCCGGATACGACCCTCATCGAACTCGTTTATACATTGGTGGGGGCCCTCAGATTTTCCCCAAAGCGCCGCTCAACATTCGCCTCTCCCAAAGGCGTTCGGCAATAGAGTCGCTTTTCGGAGACAACCAGGCTAAGCATTGAATGCTCGTGTCGCGGCCACAATTCCCCTGCAAGATGTGATTTTACAGGCGCCGGAATCTCCAAAAGACCAAGGCCGTTCCAAAGCACGCTCGGATCCTGTTGCGCCCTTACCAAGTCCGGCTCGTCCCACGGAGGTAATTTCTTTCTCTCACTCTCTCGCTCGCTCGCTCTCTCTCTCTCTCTCTCTCTCTCTCTCTCTCTCTCTCTCTCTCTCCCTCTCTCCGTGTCTCTCTCCGTCTCTCTCACTCTCTCCCCTCTCCCTCTCTCTCACACTCGCTCTCTCCGTCTCTCGCATAACAATTTTATAGATGAGCTCCGGTTCGTCCTCCAATACTCTTTCCTTGTGCTCGGCTCGTTCCTCGGCATCTTCGAAATGCTCTACGCCTAGAAAGGTCAGCAAATCCTCTGCGCGATGAGCAACCAGCCAGAAATTTGGCTTGAAAGGGGGTTTATTGGCGTGTTGAAAAAATGGCAACTGTCAATTGGCCTAATTTGCCCTTTTTTCTTGCAGTGTAGTAGTGTTAGTAGGTGCCAAAAACGCAAAACCCCTCCCGCATTTCGCCGTATTCCATCCGGTTCCAGAATTTGCACAAGAGCGCATCGGACCATAAATCACCACAATCCTGAATTATAGCCCGATCGCTACAGTAGTTTTCAAGTCCTCGCCAAAATACTGTTTTTTTACGCGTTTCTTAACAGTTTTTCGGCTATTTTTTTTGGACTTTGTATCAATTTGCATCAACTTCCAGCTGCGAACCCCTAATTTCGCTTCATATCGAGGGTGGCTTTGGGTTTCAAAAATTGTTGAAATCAACGGTCATTTAATAAATTTTTATCAGGAAAAAATCTCTAGGGGGTAAAGAAGGCATGTCGCTTCATTTTCCCTTAATATTCGAAGGGTCGATTCCGACGAAAACCTAAGCAAAAACCGATAATAAAGTTTATTTTCGCTGTGGCTCGAAAATTACTGTAGCTGGGAGTCTATAAGGATTGTGGTTATTTAGAGTCTGATACACCTCTAGTCGAATTTTGGGACCGATCGGATGTAATATGGCGAAATGCGGGAGGGGTGCTTTTTTATGGGACACCCTGTGATATATGCGAAAATAACTACCGTTGCATCTCCCGTCTCTGTTTCAGTCTTCGATCACAGTCTCCAAACCCAAGTCCTCTCCCGCTCACACCGCCATCCTCGATTCAAGGTGGAGTCCGTTGCGAACGTAGATGGATTTCATGGCTTCATGCTTGTGAAAATTATGGACATTTTTTTGCAGTCCACCTACCAATACGGCTGTCCCTTTCGATGACGACGAAATTCTGGTGCAGCAAACGGTCGGTCGGGGCTGTGGAGGGCGCGACGCTGGACTGTTAGCGGGGGAGGCAAACCAAATTGTTCCCTTTGATTCTCTACGGCCAAACAACAACACACCATTTTTATTTAATTTTACATAGCTTTTAGATATAAAACCCATATAAATATTTATCACTTTTTTCGAACATTTTTGACTCTTTGGTCGAAAATGTATGAGAAATGACCAAAAGATTAAAATTTTCGAATTTTCAAAGTTTTTCAAAATCCTACTATATATAAAAAAATAGTGTTTGTATATTTGCATGCACTTCCGTTAGGATGTTCCGCTCCTACAGCCTCGGGGAAGGGTTTTTTGGATAGGGAAGAAACGACAATAGGTTTAGAATGGTCCGGATTCGATTGCACACACATAAAAATTTTGAAAAATTGTGGTTTTCGCTATTAAAAATAGGTTTTTGTAAAACCCTGTTTGTTAGGGGAAATTAGCATACGCCGGAAGTTGGAAGAGCCTATATAAGGGGACAGAGGAGCCGTTTTTCACTTTTTTCTTGCTAAAATTCAGGAAGGAACATGCAAATTAAGGACCTTCACAGGTCCTGGACGGGGCCAGGGTTGAAAAGCCGCGAAGCGGTTTTTCAACCCTGGTTATTTGATAACTTTCTAGCTATTAGAAACCACTAAAAACACTATAAAGATACATACTTTATATCATCAACAGGTGGGAAAGGTAGAAAAACGAATGGTAGTTCTCCCCTGCTGCCGTCTCCGCGCTAACAGCCCAGAACCAAAAAGTATTATTTTCTTTCCAGAAGAGCTCGCCGACCGGCGGTCATCACGGGTCAAAAGATCCGAGCGCCCCCGACCCGGTTCGCAACCGGGCGGGGGTGGGCCCCGTGTTGTCCGTTGCTGATGCTGATAAAACAAATACCATGGTCAGATTTTTATTAAACCACGTTGTGAAATCACGTGATAAAACGCCGTGGTCGGAACGCTATGACAATTTTCTGGACTGGCACCGTTTTCAGGAGACGCCGACGCGCCCCGCCTCCGCCTCGACCCCAGCCCATCATCGGTCGGCTTTTGCCTCGCTATGGGTCCTTTTATCCGGAGGACGATCATTATTTCTAAAATCCTTACTTCTAAGATTATGGCTTCTAAAATTTTTACTTAAAATCATTACTTCTGAAAGTCACTACTTCTAAAAAGCATTGCCCCCCCGCCTACCCCCACCTCCCGTATCTCGGCTCCCTGTTCATCTACAGGTGTGTCAAGTATACCAAAATACTCGCCACAGCAAGACGAACATTTTGGTATACTTTACACACCTGTAGATGAACATGGAGCCGAGATACAAAAGTTGGGTACCGGCTGGGGGGGGGTGTTATCTGGAGTCTTACCAAAGCATTAATTCTAAAAACGTTGTACAAAAATTGCAGGCTGCCAACCATCGTCAAATTTTGAGTTTGAGTTAATTTCGGAAATTTTTGCTTAAAAGGGACGTATCAAAGGGAGTCCGAACTACTTTGCAGTTTTGAAAACAGATTCGGAATCAGCAAAAAATTTTGCACAAGATTTGCTAGGTCCCGCTTTGAAATCTTACCGCGATTTTAAGAATTTCCTTGTAAGCATCGGCTAATGGCACACTACCGCCCACTCAGCCGCTTTACTTTGTCATTTTTTCAGCAACCCGAGTCAGACGCGCACGCCTCGCTCGCGAAGTCGTTCGCCCAGGGGATCGGCTGCGTCCAACAGGCCGAAACCGGCCGGCAAAGAGGTCTGCCCGGCTAGGTCGTTAGAGAAGAAGGGTTGCTTAAAGAAACTTGCCTCGCAATATAGGGCTCCCTTTTCCCTTACTGTAAAGTGTTTTGCTCAACTTGGGGTTCCTATTTTAAAAGTCGTTTTTGGTACAAATTAGACGTAAAAAAGGCAAAAATTCGGATGCTGACCCACTATTCCCTGCTTGGTTCTATGATTCCCAGGGGCCCCCAAGTATGCTCTCACAGCCCAAGCCACCCGCTTGGCTTTTTGACGAACAAAACAAAAACTTTCGAGATTTTGATTATTTTTTAATACCAGTTCCCCACCAAATCCCACCCCCCCGTTAACAGTCCAGAATCTTTTTGTATAGTATATCTTGAAATCTAGAAATTCGTCAGGCGTCATGGCGCTAAACCATTGCACCAACACCCAAGCATCGAACCAAAGCCAAATTCGTTTCCAGACCGTCGAGCCGGTTCGCGACCGGCAGGCGGTCGGCAACACCCACTCGAGCCCGGCCATCGACCCGCCCGATGAGGTCTCAAAGCACGACAAGTCGGTTGTCAAGGTCGGTGCAAGCTCTGAGCTTCCTAAAAGTTGCATTGAACACGGCGAATCGGGCGTGTGGGGAGACGCTATGCTATGGGTCGATTTGCTATCAGAATGTCGAAATTCATAATGTCTATTTTTTTGCCCAGGACATGGGGGTTCCGGGAATGTTAGTTTATGTAAATTTCGACATTCTGAATTTTGCCATGACTTTCGACAGTTTGAAAATAAGCCACTCTGGAAGCGGATACCAACAGGGTGTCCCAAACCCCCCTCGGTATTTGGCCGTTCTCCACCCGATCGGGACCAAATTTTTACCAGCCATGGGGAACACCATAAAAACTATATGCAGCCAAATTTTCTAAGCAAAATATTGTAAGACAAAAAAGTTATTTTGGATTTAAGGTTCATATTGCCGATTTCAGTAGGATTTTGACGGATTTGGACTAGCCAAAAATTGGCACCATCATTTCCGAAAAACCAGTTTTTAGCGATAATTTTGCATTATTTCGTTTAGCTAATTCGGCTGCACATTGTTTTTATGGGTCGCCATCGCTGGTAGATTTGGTTCCGATCGGATGGAAGACGGCCAAATGCCGTGGGCGGGGGGAGGGGGATTGGGACACACTGTATATCAAAAACTCGGACGGTCCTCCGGACTGTTATTAGGGGGTCTTTTTCGGGGTATCCTGCAAAATCACCGACAAAAAATGATACGGAAAGGAAGATTATGCCCGCGAAAGCCAACCCTCGATTAGATGCGCAACAACCATCGAAACACCTGATAAAGCGCCTAAAAATTGCGAGATTGCCTTTTAATCACCTCCTTTATAGTGAGCAACACAGGAGAACGCGTGCCCTACACCGCCGAGTTCCACCCGCCCCTTCGCACCAAAAAAAAATCGCTCGTTTTTCTACAGCTTTGCGTGCACATGTGATATGGAATTACCGCTCTGTCCCTTTGTCTGAATGTTTTTGCTGCCGTGCTGATAAATTGTAGATCCCGGGGCCCTTTACCAGCAACGCTTGACACGCAATGTGAACAAAGTTACAGAATGGCAGAAGTATATTTTATCGACGTGTTCAAACATATTAGGCAAAAATTTGACACCGAAAGGTTGGCGAAGTTCATGGCGTAACGCGCACCTACACGCGATTCACCGTTCTTAATCAAATTATAATAGGAGGCGCTCGCAGTTTTGATAGTTAGAGATGCAGAGAGAGAGAGAGAGAGAGAGAGAGAGAGAGTGAGAGAGAAAGGGCAAGAGAAAGGGTGAGAGAGAGCGCGGGAGAAAGAGAGCGAGAAACCGAGGGAAAGAGAGTGATGGAGAGCGAGGCAAAGAGAGCGAGGGAAAGAGGGTGTTAGAGGGCGAGGCCAAGAGAAAGAGAGAAAGACAGACAGAGAGGAGAGAGAGAGAGAGAGAGAGAGAGAGCGAGGTAAAGAGAGTAGTAGTATATTATCGTTTTACAGAAGAAGCCATGCGCCCGTATGGGGAGACCTCCCTACGAAAAGGTTTGTAGAATGGTATACAACAAAAAAGGAAAATTATTTGCTATTTCTTTTATTTTCCCAGGGTTGAAGAGCCGCTTCGCGCTTTTCAACCCTGGCGTCGTCTGACCGCATGCGAAACGTCACTCTGCCTAAACTCCTGAATTTCGATACAGAGAAATGGATAGCGGCGCTGCGCTCGTCAATTATAAAGGGTGTCCCAACTCTACTAACTAGCTCGACGCAGAAGTATCGGATCGGTATGATAGTGACACCATTCGAAAGCCCTTGAAGCCGCGAGTTTGCAACAACCTTCAAAACAGTGGTTTTATCTAAACCCGCGATTTTATAGCGTATTTAAAAACATGAAAGAGAGCCCATGCATTTAATTTAGGGCATTTATTGGAGAAATTGAGGCAAATTAGCTAGTATGCAACCCGTAAAACCGCAAATTGTTACAAAATGCCTTATAAAAAATAATATAAATATTTCAATAAAATTTTTTTCAATAAACTCTTTTTTTCAACAAAACTCTTAGTATATTTTTTAACGCTCTATCGAGTGGTGCTAAAGAAATTTTGAAGCAAGTCGAAAATCTCGAAAACTAACTTTGCACCTCGTGTTCCTATAGGAAAATCGCGTTTAAATCTGATTTTTGCTGTAACTATTTTATATTACACTATTTTGAGCTGCCATATAAACTCTTAGTATATTTTTTAATGCTCTATCGGATGGTGTCAGAAAACCCGAAAAAATCATGATATGTCGAAAACTTTGTGACCCTCGGGCTGGGGGGTAAAGTAAACCGTAGCCACAGAAAGGCTTCCCGATTTTCAACAGAAAACTTAAATTTACTGTTGAAACTAGGTGATTATGGCAAATTTCACACGCGTACCGTCTTCCCCTCAGGCAAAGGCAAAAGGCATTCAGTTTCGGCAAAACGAATTTTCGAGAAAACTCAAAGCAACCGTTCAGCCGCGGGGAATTTGCGTTAGTTGCGGGCCAGCCGCCGGTGAGCAGGAGATTAACACGCGATGGACGGCGGTATCCTGCGAAAAATGTGCCGATGCGTTCAGGTCAGTGCTTGGCCTCTTCTCCGTAGTGAAAACTGAACCGAACAAATAGCCTGCAATAGCTCGATTATCCACGCACGGGGTGGCCTAGAAAAACAAGTGATGTTTTTACTGAAATATCTCGCGAACGGAAACAAAGCGGACCATCATTACCTAGCCGGAATCAACTATCAACTATAGTCAACGGGACGTGGTGTCCGTCTGCGTGTCTGCGGGCAAATTCAACTCGAAGTGGGAAGAAGCTAGAGCTTAGGTCTCCTTGGGTTCGGATAGATCGCGGCCAAAAAACCCCAAACTGATAAAAAGATTATGAAAAAGTGAATCTGGAAATGTACGGATATTCGACAGCTCCTATTGACGGCTGTTTAGTCAGCTCGATCATCTTTACCACTCAAATGATAACGCATTCCAATAGCTTCAGTTTGACACCCTTAATGTCCCCTAGGTAATGGTGGTCCAGTTCGCTTCCGGTCGCGAGATACACACAACGCGCGCGCCACCCGGCTTCCAGGAGGAAGCCTGAATTTACTATGCAGCTGCTTGGCAGAAAGAGCGACGCTATTCGCGGGATTAACGGAATTTATAGTAAATCGGAAGCCAAGAACGCCCATTACACACTCGACTTTTTAGGGTCGCTACCAAACGTTATCTGAAAAATCCCGGTTGCAGAGGGAGCTACTGCACAAAGTTGCGTAAGTGATTGGCAATATTTGGGAACACATTAAAGTTGTTTTTGTTGTGCAATAAAAGTTGTTTTAAATATCGGCTGCCGGGTTGTAAAAATCTCATCTTTTTCTTCGGGTAAAGGTTGCTTAACGGGGGGGGACAAATAACGGGGGGTGGAAACCATTTTCCCCCTATAGGGACCTGTCGTGCCAATTGAAACATGCCATCGGATAGAGCGTCGAAAAATATACTATGAAAATTAATTTCTGCCCGAAATAATTTAATTTAAATTAGATATTAAAGAAACAAGGCTATGATGTATAACCATAGAGTGACCGTAGTTTTCCGTAGTATTTTTTGTTTTAACGGGATTTCATGGATGCTATCGGATAGAGCATCAAAAAATATACTAACAAGGAGACGTTTTTGAGTGTCGTCGGGACTTTGGCATGGGACCAAGTCTATCTTGTGCAGCATTTTACGCTGATTCCGAATATGGTAACCGTTTTTGCGGAATAGCCATTTCTCGAAAGTTATGAACTATTTAAACCTCCAAACAGCCCAAAATCGGCTACTTCCGATCGTCATAAAAGGCTTCGGAATAGGTTTTAGACAAAACCAGATAGTGCATCTTGTTCAGAAAAAAATTCTCTATAAAATAGGCTACTTAAATCAAAAATGTTGGAATTTTGAAAATTTTTGTAAAACAGGGGCCTCCCAATTTATCAAATTTTTCTAACTTTTCAATGATTTTGGAACAGATGGTACATTTTATAGAGAATTTTGTTCTGAACCAGATGCGCTATCTGGTTTTGTCTAAAACCTATTCCGAAGCCTTTTATGACGAACGGAAGTAGCCGATTTTGGGCTGTTTGGAAGTTAAAATCGTTCATATCTTTCGAGAAATGGCTATTCCGCAAAAACGGTTACCATATTCGGAATCAGCGTAAAATTCTGCACAAGATAGACTTGGTCCCATGCCAAAGTCCCGACGACACTCAAAAACGTCTCCTTGTAAGAGATTTAATTTCAGCCCGAAATAATGTATTATAAATTAGTTATTAAAAACAAAAACATCGGCTGGTAATGTAGTATAGCCATCAGTGATCATCATTTTCGACGTTTTGAGCTTTTTCGTCGGGATTTCATTAGTGCCATCGGATAGAGCGTCGAAAATTATAAAAAGAGATTTAATTTCAGTCCGAAATACCACAATTTAAGATTATTACTTTATTAAGCAAAAAAGTTTAATCAATTCAAAATCGTTAAAAATGAGGTTTTTTGAACTGAAATTCAGTTTCTTAATATGATTTTGGACGCTCTATCCGATGGCGTTTTCAAAATAGCAGGATATCCTACCCTATAAGCGAGAAAAGTATGTGTGTTTTCTGTACGGCCGTTTTCTCGGCCGTCAGGCCGAATTTCGAGCTGATTTTTGGCATGGGGGTGGGAAATGCCATTTATAAAAAACGGTTTTTTGGATTTTTCGAAATTCTGCGATTTAACGATTTTACAAGCAAAAATGTGAAAAATCCTTAACATTTTTGGGTGTGCACGTTGTCCGGAACTTTTCTCGGCCCCTAGAGGGAATGGGGCCCTCAATTTTTGAGGGTAAGTGGCAAAAGTAATTCCCCAGATACATTTTTTCGGATTTTGCAAAATTCTTTAAAATAAAGTTTTTATGAGCATTTTTTTGAAAATTCCTTAACAAAATGGGCCAAGGGTCGTGGTGTCCGGGGCATAACTCGAAGCCCTGATGGAATTCCGGGTTGAAATTTGGACCATTTATGC